TCTTTCGCCTGTCCTGTTCAGTTTGGCATTAGCACATGCCATTAGGCAGGTAATGCGTACCGAGAAAGGGTTGGATCTGGGTGGGACAACATCCGTGCTGGGCTATGCTGATGATCTGGTACTGTTAAGCGAAGACGTTGAAACTATAAAACTAAATACGACAACGTTAATGAAAGCCGGTAAAGAACTAGGACTCGAAATAAAGGTAGATAAAACAAAATATATGGTTAGCTGCAAAAATGGCGATACTACTGGTGATATCGATATAGATGGTAATATGTTTGAACAGGTAGAGAAATTTAGGTATCTAGGTTCTACGATAACTAGAAAAAACGAAATTGAAGAAGAGATTAAGGTTAGACTGAAGGCGGGAAATGCTTGTTATTTTTCTGTGACAAAACTACTTAGTTCGCGCGATGAGTTAACCGGAGAGTTCAGACGGTTACACAACGCCGAATTGCGTGAGCTGTATCCGGGTAATATAATTGAGGTAATTTCATCGCGGCGAATCAAATGGGCTTCTAAAGTTGTGGGGCTTAGTAACGAGAGAATTCCTAAACGGTTAATATGTGCGGTGCCGAATGGTAAGCGTCCGAGGGGTAGACCGAAGCGAAGGTGGGAAGATTGCATTAAAGCCGATCTGAAGGGATTGGGTTTGGACGGCGAACGGTGGAGGGAGGTGTGTAATAAGCGATTGGTGGTGTCGGCATCGAACCTTCGGGTTCGCTAAGCCTTTTATTATATTATTTATTATTATTATACGTAATTGATAGTAAAAAAACATTTATTGTCAAAAAGCGAGATCTTTTCGTCATTTTGTGTGTAAAATTTCATCGTTATTGCCTTTTTTTTTTTTTTCTCTATTTGGTTGTATATTATACTGTATATTATTATGTAAAACACAATGACTAGCAAACCAGTCGGAAAGAGACTGAACGGAAGACCAATGCTGAGATTAGCTGACATGGAAAACGATTTGAAAGGCATAGGAGCAAGAGGATGGTGAAGGAAGGTGGTAGATGGGCAGAAATGAAGAATAATCCTTTGTGAAGCCGAAGTCCAAATAGGACTACTGTTGTGCCACTAGTTGTAATTTACTTAATTTAGAACCTATTACCATACTTTTTTAAGGTGTATTATATGGTAAATTTATTTTATTTTCATATAAATCTGATCTTTGCTTAATCATCTTCACCTATTTGACCCTTCAATTATAACTGATTTAAAATAATATTTTTAACTGTATCATTTATCTGGATGAACTGAAGAGTGGCCAAAGAGTAAAGGTAGTCTTGGGCGTGTACTTAACGACTTTATACCCGGGTACACCCACATGTTTTCTGATATTAAATGGAAGACGATTTTGATAAATAAAATACTTAAGGAGCTGGCAGGTTCGAAACTGAATGCTACCAATATTATATATAGTCGTAGTCTATGTAACTCCACTCACCATTAGTGTGTTCCATCAAAACCAAAATCCTCAATGTCGGTCCTTACACAATATCTATATCTACGTTTCGTTCTAGAACTCTAGCTTCAAGAACTCTCCAGGAGTACCCATCCCCTCTGAAGTCGATGGTGTATGAACCTCTTTCCCTCCCCAAGATATTTTACTATTCATATCTTATTAAAAATAGTGCGAATGAAAGTAAAATAAGAAAAATCATTGCTCTTATACAATAAACTTGCTGCGATCAGTTTCTTGTTTTTCTCTTGTCCTCTGGTTTGAAAATTTTCATTCCGAAAATTCAGAATCCAATGAAACGTATGAATGGACCTTGGGGGAGGGGGGGGCACCCCTGTAGGTTATCTAAAGATGAAATTTTAAGTTTCAAGCTATTTAAGTTTCAGACGGATGTTAATAATTTATAAGATTGATTGAGAAGTTTTGAGAATATATTCTTCATCTGTATATATGCATTTCGTTTTGAACTAATTATTATGGAACTCTATCTTAGCTGCAGTCCTCTGCAATTCCAGAATGCAGCAATATCAGTGTCGTCAGGATAACCTAACAGTTGGACCAGATTTGTAAATATCGTGATTCTAGTCTAAATACCAAAGTCACTCACCACTTTTGTCCAGAGCTAAATTTTTTTTATTTATTTTTTTAATTTGTATTCGCCTCTACCCCAGAGGGTCATTGGCGGTTTTTCTTAATTTTTATATTTTACTATAATGATTTGTTTCCAATAAACATTGAAAGAGAATGACGATATTTTCCTCCTTGTCTCCCAAAATATCTTTCAGTGTTGCCGATAACTTTATTTTTTGTCTCTTTTTTTTTATATGGGGGGCACTCTTATAGTAGATGTTTAACTGTTTGAGGTGTATTGTCACAGTTTTCGCAGGTTGGCGCTTCGAGTCCTCTAAGTAGGTATCCGTGTGTGAAAAAAGAGTGTCCTATTCGCATCCGGCATAATATTATTTCTTCTCTTCTCGATTTTCTAAAGCTTGTGGTCCATGAATTGCACTCGGTTTTTATTTCGGCTAGTTTGGCTCGTTGTATTTTCTTTGGTCTTCCCAATTGTTTAATAGCTTTTTTCTTGCTTCATGAATCCAATCTTCAACGGTGATTTATCGGTGTTATGCCTGGTAACTATCCCTTTCTCGCCAAAAGACCAGAGGCACGTCAATACTTCAAGTTTTTCATTAAAGCTTAATTTAAAAGATAACAAAAAAATACTTGCCAAAAAAAAAAATCGATCTAATACTTGCCATTTCCACACACCTACATACAATGAAGGCTAAAAAATAATCAGACAAAAGACATCCTCGAATCAAATATTATATAAATACATTATAAATTGGTGCCTTTGAGAACTACCTCACTCATGCGTTACAAGCAATTGTAACCACGTCCAGTTCTGTCTGTTGCTTGTTGGAGGCTGAATCTAGGTTCTATTTTATTCATTTACAATACTAACATGTACATCTGTATAACTATTATATATATGTATTTATATAAATAAAAAATATAATAAACAAATCTGTGACTGGAACGAAAGGGGATAATATCGACTGCCTACTTTTTGAACTTTAAATTTCGGTTCAATTTTCATTGCACGATTAAGGCAATGATGCCTGGGAACTAGGAAATAAGATATTGCCTGAAATTTTTAAGCCGAATAACAAAAAAAATTGCAATGAAAGAACGTTTTAAGGAATTTTATTGGTTTGTATTTGTGTATACACGCGAATTCAATATTGATCATAAATTATCAAAACTTTAGCTTTTAATACAATTCTTCTTACAGGTTTTCAAATCCGTGACTGTTGATATATAATATATTAACTGTTAAAAGGGTATTTTTTTTCTCGATTAATTACCTATTGAGACTAAATAATTATTAGAATGCATTATTAGTACTGTGTAATTTTTGTTTTAAGACGTTTTTTAAAATTTTCGAATTTGACACTATTTGTCCTAAGATTAAGAAATATAATAATACATGCTACATAATGATGTGCTAGTATTTAGTCATACTTACCTTCAGACAGAGATGGTAAATACTCCGACTATTGCCGAATCGGCGCGGGAGTACCGCAGGGCAGTATTTTAGGTCTGGTTATGTACTCAATTTACTCTTCTGGTATTCCACAGACACTAGACACATTACTCGCAACTTACGCAGACAACACTGTCATACTCTCGACTGATTCTAATCCGATCACAGCATCTCAGAAAGCACAGATTCATTTAAATCTTCTATAAGACTGGCTTGATAAATGGCGCATAAAAATTAACATTCAAAAATCAAATCAGGTTACATTTACACTTAAATATTCGGATTGCCCTCCACTGACACTTTACAATACTCCTTTGCCGAATCATACAGAGATAAAATATCTAGGACTCACAATGGACAGACGACTGACCTGGAAATCACACGTGACTACATTAAAAAAGAGATTGAACCATCGATTGTCACTACTAAGACGAATGCTACTATCAACGAATGCTACTACCATAAAAACAAACTATCACTTTCTAACAAAATTACTATATACAACATGCTACTCAAACCAATATGGACGTATGCCTCTCAGGTGTGGGGTTCATGCCAAATTTTCCAATCTAAATTTCTCCGGTATATCACTCATTGTCTGTTCTACATAACCAATAAATCACTTCATAAAGACCTACAAACACCACAAGTGACTGATGTAATTAAAAAATATTACAAAAATTTTCATGACTAATCCACTTGTACAAACATTACTAACAGACACACTACCACAGAATCCACCAAGGAGACTCAAACGCTTCTGGAGCAGGGATCTGCTGCATCAAGAGTCACGTTAGGAGTACCTTCACTGGGAGGCTTCTCCAATCACGCATTCACGCTAATCCCGGAGAGGAGATTCGCTAACGAACATCACATTTACAAAATATGCCAAAAGGCATTTGTAAAATTGCTCAATAAATAAATTTATTCTTATTATCTGTTACCTCGCTAGTTAGAGAACCAACAACGTTTTCTATTTTAACTAGAAGATGAAAAATGTTATCAGTGTATTTCGATTTTCGAGAAAACGGAACTATTAGTAATTAATTAACTAGTAAAACGGAAGTAATTATTTTATGACTAATTTCAGTAGTTTTAATCACTAATGTTGGCTGTACTTTGAAAAGAAAACACTTATTGTTTTTTAGCTAGTCAGTTGAAATTCGCAGTTTATGTTCAATTAAAAAGTTAAATAGCATTATTGAACCTAAATGATAATGATTTGTATTGTATTTTTTATTTGCAAGAATAAAGAATCTTAAATAGTAAGATGACATCGGTGGTGACAATCGAAGTGTACTTATAATTTTTTTTTTGGGGGGGGATTCTGACTGTAGGTAGTATAATGTATTTTCATTTAGCTTGTTTATCCCAAAGTGAGAATTCTAGGAACCTGAACATTATTCAGGTGTATTTTGTTAGTGATCTTTATAGTTGTTAGTGGTACAGTGTATATGTACCTGATAGATATTCTGATGTTTAGTTACAATGCTAACGGCCTTGCTGTGTTTTGTGGCCGTGGGGCACCTCGTCCTAGGGCAGAACCCCCAGGTCACCACCTCCTATGGCACGATGATGGGGCAGGTCCTCAAGTCTAGGGATGGCAGGGACTTCTTCTCCTTCACCAGGATACCTTACGCTAAGCCACCTGTCGGAGAGCGGAGGTTCATGGTGAGTATTGTACAGTCTCTTTTCTTGTTTCAGGCCTTGATTTAAATTCTTGTATTCAAAAAGAATTTAATCACAACTCCTTCGAAGATAGATTACTTTTAAATATAGATCATATCCTTCATACTTTATTTTAATTTTTTTCACCATTAACATTCCTAAAATCAATGAAAAAATATTATTGTATTTCATACATTTATTTGTTTAAATACTTATTTTAAACATTTATTTTCTTTCTAGATCTCAGAGATAGCAGACAACTGGAGTGGTATATTGGACGCAACTCTACCCATCCCGCCCTGTTATCAGACCATGTACCCTTTTGGTTCAGGAACCTCAGGACAAGAAGATTGTCTTTATTTGAATGTTTTCACACCAAATGTAAGTTTGCCTTTATATTATTTTTTTTTTAATTTATAGGATTCTGGTAAGCCTACTAATTTAAATTTTCTTTAATTAGTGGCACGAATTACAACTGGATGAAATCAATATATTTCATTTGGGCTAAAAAAACTGTTATTTCATTCCCAATTTAATCAACACCAAAGGAAGGAATAATATAGAAAGTATAAAAATCTTTAATCTATATATACTTTATTGTTTGGTAGGAAATACTATTGGATGAAACCATTCTCTTTTATTTTGGTTGAATAACTCTTATTTTCCAATTTTATCAATATGTAACACAAAAAAAGATGGAAACAACTATTTAGAAAATCAAAAATTTCTTTGTTTTATTTTTTTTTTTGGCACTGCAGACGATGTAGATCTATTGTCGTGAGATGTGGTCTTCTTAGAGGCGTATGTTTCTTGCGAGAGCACAGATAGCGTGGAGGGGGTCACCCAACCTCATATTGCTATTAATCATGGTATACATAGTGAAGTGGTAGGCTACACTTAGAGCTCCATGGTTGATATTGGGAGTGCCTTGATACCAATATGGCAGTATCCACCTACTAACACGGGTGAGACCAATCGGCCAAGATTCATGGATTATGGTAGTTCAGAGTCCGCATACCATGCATGGTCCAAGACTCAGTGGGCTGAGATCCAGGAAAACTATTTCAAAATTCCCGAGTAAAGTTCTAGGAATTGGTTCATCACTGCTAGTCCCCGTCAGTGGGTGTTGCCTCCCATAGGCTGAGAGTCGCAAATACCCCGGTGGTTGGGGTGAGAGAAAATCAAAACAAGCGTAGTCTGTCTCTGTGGAAAGTCACCCTATTCTGGTAATCAGCCATACAAGTAATTACCACGCCCCACGTTGATTAACGTTTATTACGTAAAATTATTTTTGCCTTTAATATGCATTTTATTCAGACGGGCTTCGGATTTAAGATCTCAGAAAAGGAGACGTAACAATAGACGTCATTAAATGAAATGAAAATATTTTTTTATTATCCTGGGACTGTTGTCCCTTGAGGACAAATTATAGATACAGAGAAAATGCCTGTCTGGTCGTACATTAAATGAGATATTTACATTTTTCATTAAAATTAAAATATTGGAAGAAAAATAAAACAAAAACATTAAAACATACAGATATATATATATATATATATATATATATATATATATATATATATATATATATATATATATGTAATACAAACATGAGGAAATAAAATATAGAGTACTGAATAGAAATGAGACTGATGACATGTCGGTGACACATGATAAGGTGGACATGACAAAAATAAAAAAAAATATTATGAGTGGACGCATGCAGTTTGCATAAGTGAAAAGGATAGGTGCATGAAGGGGTATTTAGACTTGAAAATGGCTCAACGAGCCGAAACGTCGTAATTAGATGTGATGTCTTTAAGTTGACAAAATTTTAAAAATTGGCTGATAATAAATAAACTTGGAAATAAATAGTATGCACCGAAAAAGAAGTTGAGAAATATTGTGAAAATAAAATAAGTGAACAAAGTCATTTCTGGGAGAACTTAAAAAGTTCTCTTATCTACTTTTCCTGATCAATCGGGTTGGAAAAGGAGTAGGTGCTTAAAAAGGAGAGACTTAAATGAGGAAACTGATTGCGCATGTCGGATATCGGGAGGGATGGTATTCCAGAAGGAGATGGCTTGAATTATAAAGGATTTATCAAACGCAGTATGATGTATGACATTAAATGTACAAAACTAGATAATCATGCTAGAATAGTTTATCGTAAATATATTTGGCAGACATTATAAATAAAATACACTACAAGTAAACATCACGGATGAGTTATGTTTCGTGTTTTTGACTAACGTATATACTAGTCATTGTATTAGCAATGACACATTAGTGACATTGCTAATACAATACTATTCTTAAGCAATGTTATTCGTAAAATAGTAACTCTTATCCTGATTAATTAATTGATGTGATAATTTTTTGTCAGGTGAACGGAAGATTACCAGTAATCTTCAACATACACGGAGGTGCGTTCAGGCAAGGTTCTGCTGCTGTTTACGGTTCCGCCAATTTTTTCATGGACGAAGATGTTGTCTTCGTTGCTACTAACTATCGGCTTGGAACAATGGGTACGACATGATTAAATTATTAAAGTATATTTTTATCATAATGTCACCTCAGAAAATTACGTGAAATAAAGATTTATTTTAATTTTTTAACGATTTAAAGGATTTCTCAGTTTGGAAGACAATGTCATACCAGGGAATCTGGGTCTTAAAGACCAAGCCTTGGCTTTGGAATGGGTCTATCAAGAAATCAGTGCTTTCGGAGGGGACCCGAATCTGATAACCGTTGCAGGTGGAAGTGCTGGTGCCGCATCTTCACACATTATTTGTGAAGCCCCGAGAACAAATGGTGAGTATTGTTTCATGAAAAAATTATTATTTTCCTCCTTTATTATTTTTTTTTGTGGGTGATAAATATTCAGGACGCAATCATTTTAAAGCTTTTACTGGTGCCGACGTTTAGACCCAAATGTGTGGGTCATCATCAGGACTTTTTTTCGAGTGTTTGGGTTGAAACGTCGGCACCAATAAAAACTTTATAATGACAGCGTTATGAATATTTATCACCCATATTTCATGATATGCAGAACAGTCGATAAATTTACTTCAATAATTTTCTTTTAGAGTAATTGCTTCCATAATTGTGTATCATTAACTCTCAAGTCTATTTTCGTTTGTGAAAATACCACTTGCATTTATCTTGTAATTAAAATAGAATATAAATAAAACTTTATTATGCGGCAAAGTCCCCTCAGAATAACAATGACGAACAAATTACTTTCAACGAAACAAATTAAATCATCTCTGGCATACAAAACAAGCAATATTCCTGTTTTTAGGTCTTGTCAAAGGCTGTATCTCTCAGAGCGGAGACGGATGGGCACACTGGGCAATTTTGGAACCTGGAGAAGCCCGAAAAATGGCTTTGAAAATGGCCGAAACAACAGGCTGTGACGAAACAGGAGATCTACTTCAATGCCTGCAGAGCAAACCAATTGAACTTATTGGCGACGTTTCATTGTTGCAAAATGTAAGAGAACAGAAATATTTATTTGAATAGATTTTAGACTATCCGTTTAAGTGGTAGGCATTTTTTATTTTACTTAAAGCTCGCATGATATCTACCAATTTAAATAATCACGCTTCAATTTTATTTTAGTTTCATATTCATTAAAAATTTGTATAAAAATAAAAATATCATGTGTGACAACTCACTCCACTTTCCATACAGCTCCGGGTGCTAACTCCCATAAACCTATCTATCATCTTCCTTAATATTCGTCTAGTTATTATTTTTTGTCATTACTTAAGATTTTATTGTCATTACAACTTTTTGTTTTACTTCATTATTTCTTTAAAGTAATAAGGAGGGAAGCGGTAACCATCGCACAACTGTCAGACTACAATCAGACCCTGGTACTCTGGGCTGGGTGAAGATTAACACTTTCTTTAAAATTCAGTTAACAGCTTTAAATTGTGTAGCCTAGATCTTACGATTTAAAAAAATTGTTCGGATATTCTAGGACCTAGAACCTGTAGAAGTTGAACAAAACTGCTGTAGGCTGGGCGCGCAATTTATAGAATATAGAATTAAGCGATACAAAATTCTAGAATCCATGGTATTGATAATAAAATATTTACTTCTTGAAAATGACCTTTTCTTATTAAAAAATGCCATTGAATGATTTGCTAATAGTGTTTGTCTAAAACCAATATGTCTATACTACCTCCTACATAGTATAGACTATATCCTTCCCTATATAGACTATACTGCACTATAGATACCTTTACATTTACTAAACTACAGACATCCCCACATCTCCAAAGATTACTCACAGACTACTTTCACTACTTATACTACGCACCCTAAAGGCTACTTTTCTTAGATAGTCGCTCTGAATGAGGGTACAAATCTGTATACTAAGGTGTCAGCATCTCTATAAGAATGGTGGTTCATAAGACAAAACTAGTAAGGAGGGCTAATAATCCACTTATTCGAAATTTAAATATGATGAAAGCTAACAGAAGAATACTCGGACATTTCCAAAATATACAGAACAAGGACCGTCTTACGGACTTCTCACTCGGATTACGGAACATTTTAGCACTTTTCAGAGGAAATGCTGTTAAATCAGTTTATTATATTTTCTGTTATCACTAATATCATTGTCTTGGACAGACACCGAATGCAATTTTTATTCAACAGAACAAGAATGAAACATATAAGATAAAAAATAATCTTTAAATGAGATTTCTTGCATGTAAATCACTAAACATATAAAATATATGATTAAATAGTACTACGTTCAAGATTAATATGTGTCAATTGGTAAGCAACTTATTTCACAGGTACAATTATAGATAGAATCAAATATTTTAACATTCTAAAGCGAAACTAAAAAGAATCAATCAAAACAGACATGTGCAATTTAAAAAAATATATATTTACGGCTAGATATTGATGTATTGCTATTTAGTGAATTCAATGTTTCCATGAATGAAATGAAAAACATTTTTATTTTTTCATGTAAAACTTACTAAAATGGATTTACGAGACTTGCATCGATAGGTCAACATTTGTCACACTAATCGCAAGTATATAGTATAGTATAGAGTATAGTGTTTGCTTATTATTTTATGAATCACTGTAAATATTATTACATTTTGTATTAAATTATGTTTCTATTAGATAGCTATTATTTATAAATTGTGCAGTTATGTATATATAGATATGTAATTTCTTTTCTGTCTTTTTTTTCTCTTTTTTTATCGTAATAATAAGTAAATTTGGAGAAGATTGTATGTTCATTTATGTATGTATGTATATATATGTTTATGTGTGTGTATGTATATATATGTGCGTGTGTTTATATATGTGTATATATATATTTTTTTTATTTCTTAGTGGTTACATACTACTTTTTAAATAATGTATATTACGTTAGAATTTTTTTAAGTTAGTTTTTGGCCAGATTGGTATTTTATTTTGTATTAATTCATCTTTGTTATTCTAAGGGGACTTAGTCCCAGAATAAAGTTCTATTTTCTATTCTATTCTATTCTATATACTTTTGGGATATCACTAAGGGAAAATTCATCAAATTGTTCACTAATTTAATTATCTAAAATTCTCCGCTCTCCAACGATATATTATACGTATACCTTCTGATTAGTATTCCCAAAGATTAATTTTCGACCTAATTAAACTTTTCCTCCGTATTTGATTATTATATTCTTTTATTTCATTTTTCCGAAAATCTAGTATTATTTTTTTTGATGATAGCGACTCCACCGGAAGCAGTTGAACTGTCTCTATCCTTTCTTAGATTTTTGTATCCTAGAATATTATATTTGTTTTAGGTTGAAATATGAGTTTCGGAGATACATGCTATGTCAATGGTATCTTTTCCAAGAAAAAGCCTAAATTCACGTTATTGAGAGAGATTTCTATAAGCATTTCAAGCTTAATGCTTATGGAATGAGCACAAGCTTGGTGATAAGAAATGAAAAATATTTTTATTCTGTAACTAAAGACCACTAAGAATAATTACAAAGTGTAAGAAATATCTACATTACCTTGGCTTTATGGGAATAAAACAAATATACAGAGAAAAACAAAACAAAATAAAATGGCACTGGTCAATAAACTGTTAATAAGCAAAAGAAAATCTAAAAATTCTTGCATATTTGAGAAAGGTTGAATATAAATTAGGTGGTGGAATAGTTGTTTGAAGAAATTTGAAAATGAGGATTGACTTATGGCGATATTTAAGGAGTTCCAAAAGGAGGTAGCACGAATGATGAAGGATTTGCTGAAGAAAGTGGTTTAATTCGAGGGAATATATAAGTCTGTAGGATGCGATATGGTTTTAAGTGAGTGGATAAAGGAACGTCGAGTAAGGAAATCTAGGATATAGGGAGGATTTTTGGTTCTGAGGACTTGGAAAAGGAAAACATCAAGTATGGATTGTTGTCGGTAAAGTTGAATCTAATAAAACCTTGAATCAAATTCATAAGTCTCTTTTATGTGTGAGTGCAGGGTGACCGAGCGAGCTAAATCTTGTGCACAGCACCGTGCTTTACCCGGCAACCTGATAACCAAGATTTGAGATAAACAGATAATTACGAGTTCAAATCCCGGTGCATGGTGGGACATTTAACTCGCCATGATTCCCCGCCCTCTCCCTCGTCCCGGGAAAAAAGAACCAAGTAGCCGAAAAGGGAAGAAAGGGGAGACAAAAAAATCTCTTTTATGGGCTATGGAACTCCGAATAATTTTGACCCATTTTGATTCTTAGTGTAATGTACTCCTATTCTTAAAATCAGATAGATTAAAAATATAAAAGTGTTTATGGATTACGAATACTTTCTTACTCAGTGTACATACCAAGAAGATGTACAAAAGTGTTTAGATCATGCCATAGTTTAATATTCCTCTCATTACCAGGTCTTGATATTAATCGTATATATAATTTTCTAATTAACTTATAAAAAAAAAATTGTTTACTCTGTATAATTTTGGTATTTTAGAACTTCCAGGATCTGTCCATTGTATCTCCAGTTTTGGAACCTGTGACTGCCCCAGGAGCAATACTGACCAGCTGGCCCACGAACGCAAACCACAACTACCCTCGGATCCTTGGAGTCGTCCAGGATGAAGGAATAGTCTACACTTCACGTGAGTTTACAATTTAATTTACTCTTAAGTTAATGCAGTGATATAGCAAGAAGTAATGATACCATTTCGTCTTATTGGTGTGGGGAGGGGCTGGATTACATGTAACTATAAAGCGCAGACCTATAGGGAAGGGGAAGCGGAAAGGGGAAGGGACGAGAGGAGGAAACAAGGTGAACAATCGCCTAGATTTTTCAGGTTATGCATTTGTAGTTTTAAAGATTAATAATGGAGATGGGGACAGGGTGGCCAAGTGGGCTAGTGTGGGTGCAAAACACGCGTACAAATTCCGGTATCTCCACCCTCTCATTCGACTCGGGAAGAACCTCGTATATACGAAAAGGCGAGGAAAGGCAGACAAACAATTAATCATGGAGTATAAATACCTCTGTAACTATAATAAATAAACCGTCCAACTTGGTCATTCATCACTTACAATTATTGTTCTGAAAATTAACTGATTTTTTTCTGGAAAGCATCATATATAAGTCTAAGCAAGAAACATCTAAATACATCTGAAAATTCAATCAACTACAATTAATAAAAATAAGAAGAACAGAAAAAAATATATTAAAGTATATATCAGAAAAAAAAACGACAAAATAAGGAATAACAACAGACAACATATTATTCTCAGAAATTAAGGAGGCAGAGTGAGACTGAGAATGATGTAAAAATGATAAAATAAATAGATAATGAAGTGGAAGAAGATAATTAACTATCAAATAATTAAAAATTGGATCCTTGCATGTATTTTGAATTTTCATTTGTCCACGAAAATTAGTAGTCCGTGATATCAAATTAGTCCCCTTTTTATCAAACTAATAATATTCGCCTGAAACTTCGTAAATAGCACCATTTCATTGTAACCTACAACTATTTTATTTACAAAAACTCTTGTAATTGGGGAGTTTTTAATCTGGAGGTTGGCAAACTTTGTCTAATTAACTAGGTACTTAAAGCTCGCACATACTCATTTGGATCGTAAAATAATTCGATCACAAAATCGATAAAAAATATGTGCTTCATAAATATTGGGTCTTTAATCCTATACAACAGGATTGACCATTTGAATGTAGGTCACACCAAGCCACTCATTTTGAAAGGCCGCCTTTTTTTTTTTCGTGCTCAAATTATCAAACGGTTCAAATGGAAAGCGGGTATTTGAGAGTTTCTAGTACCTAATTAAATAGACAAAGTTTGCTGATCTCCAGATTGAAAACGCCTTAATTCAGAAAATGTTCGTAAATAAAATCTGTGTAGGTTACGATGAGATGTTAATAATTTCATAAAAAGGGATCTAAGGACTATAGGATATTACAATATAAATGTAAAAAGTCTCGAATTTTCCGAAGACATATTTGCAATGATAATGATCGTTAAAGAAAAAAGGGATAGAGGGCTATATTTAGAGGGCTTCTTAACAACAGTGCAACCTAAAGTAGAATTTAAAAAATCTTAGATCATATAAAATTAAACTTACAACGTTCTGTTACATGTTTTCTCCTCGTTCCCTGGTTTGGAACTTTTCATTCCAAAAATTCATAACACCGTCGAAATGTGTTACCCTCAACAATACAAAACCCCTTCAAATATTTTGAAATAAAATCCCCTTCCTTGAACAGTTCGGTTTATGACTAACTATTTGCTACCTTTTTTTGTGTGATTCTATGTACCCCCTTACCAAAAGAAGTATTTGTTAATTAAAGGCAATATTCTTACCAATTATATAATAAAGTTATGAAGGTTATAGTTTTTCAGTTTTAAGTTCGAACTTAAAAAGCCGATAGAAATGATCCCAATATCAACGAATCTTAGATTCACTATTTCTTACCAACAATTATGTTTTATTATGTTTATGATTTAAATTTATTTATTATTTCAGTTTACGAGTTTCACCTGGTAAGCGATGAGGAGAAAGAAAAATTCATTAATGGTTTCAACCAAACTATTATCTCAGGTCTCCATTTGGAAAACAGGATAAATGACTTTCTGAGAATATTTGAAAGGTTTTTTACCAAAGGTGTTGACCCTTTGTTAGCCATAAGAAATGTAAGTATTATTTTTTTTTTTATACTAATTAATAATTAATAGAATGATCTGTTCATTGGCTTCAAGTCTCCCAGCTCCTGAAGCATATTTCATTTACGTTTATTTATTTACCTATTAAAATTGTCTTCCAGTTTATAACGGAATATATGTGGGTGTACCCAGCTATGAAGTCTTTAAGTACGCACGCTGGACCAACTTATTTTTACAAGTTCAGTTACACTCGTGGACCACCATTACCCTTTGGACATCCTCCGGATCAGCCAGGTGAATGATACAGTTAAAAATTCATTTTAAATCAGAAGCAAATGAAAGGTCAAGTAGATGAAGATGACAAGCAAGTATACTATATAATATACCTTTAAAATTATAGTAATAACTAAAAAACTAACTTATGGGGGCAATTTTGACTTGGGAGTTATTAAGAATTAATGGCCTCTATGTCATCCTTCACCATACTCTTGTATTTTCCATAGTGAAAAATATGATAATATGGAGTATATTATGGAACCAAATGATGAAAAAAGGTAATAATGATAAAATATTGAGGCATACATTGAAGAAAAGGTTTTTTTCTCTTCTTTTTCATATTTATGATGTTTGTATTATTTTAAAAGTTATTTATAACTTTTAAAACTTTTTTTCCTAATCATTTGAAACATAGTTGTTACAAGTAAACCCAAGTAACATACTACTTAAATTAGTATATAGTAGTAGTAAACAGAAGTAAAATAAAGACTAAATAATAATAAAAAAGTATAGACAGTAAATAAAAATAAAATAGCTTAAAGATAAGTAAATTTAAAAAAAATTCACAGACGTACCTATTTACAAAAGTTATTTATAACTTCGAAAACCTTTTTACCTCAGACATTAATAAAATATGAATAAATAAATTAACTTATGAATAAAATATATCCTGCAAGTGACACATTTTGCTTCAGGAGTTCCACATGGCGCTGAATGTTCATACTTTTTCTCGGACAAAACTTCAGAAGATTGGCCTAAACCTGAAGATATTCAATTATCCAAGATGTTAGTTAAGATGTGGGTCAACTTCGCCAGGAATCAGTAAGTTTTTATTTTTTTGTATAAAAAATTTATTAATATGAATAAATTTATATCATATTTATTGATTATAAAATAAAAAATATTGATAAATGGTGTATTTCTTTAAAGTAAAATCACATTATTGATTATGATTTTTTAAAAATTATTTTTATTTGTGTAAACATTATGATATAATGTAATTATTTAATTTTTTAAAAGATTTGTTTTATGAACCTCGGAGCAAAGAATATCATAACCTACCATTTTGGAATTTTATATAATTTTATTGTATTTTTGATAAACTTTTCATAAATTTGCACAGCTTCTATTCACTCTGAGCTATACCTCCTCATCCAAATTACTTGATCTATAGTACTATTATTTACATTAAAACACAAGAAATTTATTAATAAATATAATGAAGTTAATTTGAGAATCATATTTCTCTATTACATGCTCTTCTTAACATGGAACTCCTATACCAGACTTAAAATACAAGAACTTAACCGACGATTTGGCCAGTTATACAGACTACTTAACAGAAAATCTAACCTCTCAATTGGAAACAAACTATTAATATACAAGACCATACTGAAACCCATCTGGACGTACGGACTTGAACTGTGGGGGACAACTAAATTTTCGAACATCAAACGCATCCAATCCTTCCAGTCTAAAGTCCTCCGTATAATAGTCAATGCTATTTATTATATCACGAACAAAACCTTACATCATGACCTTAACATCCCTTATGCTCTTGACGTTATTCCATTCCGATTTTCAAATTTTCATCAGAACCTAATCCATCATCCTAATCCCTTAGCACAATCCTTATCCGGTTCCAGTCATCCCTATGATCCTCCTCGAAGGTTGAAGCGGCAGTGGCCTCGAGATCTTCTGTAAATACGTCACTGGAATCTTAGCAATGGCCAGTTTCTCCACTCAAGTCATGAGCGTATGTGGCTTTAGTGCCCTCTCTCAGTCTCCACTGGATTCCCATTCTAGTGATGCGGCTGAGAGAGAAGCGCTGGGATCTCTTGGAGTCTTGCCTTATCCTCCAAATCTGGGGGAAAGGGCCCGACTCGGGGCTCCCTCGACTGACTGTAAATATTGTAAATAAGTATGAATGTGTTTATTTAATGTTGTCTCATGTTTCATTTATTCTGTTATTCCAAGTTTTCTTTGTTTTTCTTTCTATTGTATATATGGTATGTTTGTGTTTCATACATTCTAAATACTCAATGCCCTTAATTGAGGCAAAATGTATTTTTTTCTCAATAAAATGTTATTACATTAAAATTACATGCTCTTCCAAAATATTAATGACAGCATTAAATAATTCAATCTATTTGTTATGGATATTTTCGTATTTTGCAGAAACCCAAGCAGTCCAGATATGTTACAGTGGTCTCAGTTCCAAGGACAATATTTCTTGGATATACAAGACTCAGGAGTTACTGTAGGGAGTTTCACCCAATATCAAGAGATACTCGATTTCTGGAGAAGTATTTTTCCAGATCAGCCTTCTAGTTCGCCAATGATTCAGTAATCGTTACTGTTGGTTGCTTCTTAACCATCTTAAAATAACTATATGTTTAAGAATGAGGATTTTATAACATGGACTTGTAAATATATTGTATAAAAAGACAATTGTATTGTGCATTCTAATGATAAAATAATATTTCAATAATAATATAATATTTCCTTATACAATATTTCCTCCACAAATATACCCCCTCAGGTTTTAGATACATGTATTTAGATGTACATCTTAAATATATTTAAGGTTATAAACATATACACGAAATATTTCACTTCTTCTTTCACACAAGTACAATGAAATAGTATCTTAAACAATGTCATTACCTTGATTCCGTGTATTTTAAATACTTTTTTTTTAAACTAATTTTTTTTTTTAACATTTACATTTAATAATAAAATTTCATTTAATTTCCTATAAAACATGTGATTTACGTTAAATAATGTTAGTTTTCAGAAATTTGTATCTATTTTTTTTGCCACTCTCCATTGCAACTTTATTTATTAGATATTATTTTTTCTAAAATTCTCCGTTTTTCAACGATATATATACGTTTACCTTCTCACTATTATTTCTGGAGATTCATTTTCGACCTGGATAAGCAATTTTCTTTTTTCCTCCTTCATTCATCAACGAATTCTTTCAAAAGCTATATTCATACTTTTTTCATAACTTCTAACAATGAGAGATAGTTAATTATTTAAAATAAACCAAATTAAAGGTACTTTAGAGGAAGACAAGTTCAACATTTGGCATTTAAGCCCTGTAAAGTGACATCAACGGGTATAAGACCTAAATGATATGAAGACCACTTAATTATAAAATGATACCCCGAGTTCAATCAAAATCGTTAGAGCCGCTATTGAAAAAAAATGTAAATATGCATTTCACGGTTGATATAAATTCCGGTTAGCCAATTTTAAGGGAAAGGTCACTGTCTCATCTGAACCATATACAAACCTTAAATACGTAATATCAGTTTCATACGACTTTTCGTTTTTGAGCTTTCGTTTAGATTGTTCACAGACCATTTTGCGCTATCTACACTATCTAATTTCGATCGCCAGACGCTGATTACGATATGATTTGAACACACTTGATTAAACAAGATGTGTTTTCTTTCGAATGTATTTCAATCAGTTATGATTAGAACTGATGAAATCAGTAATAAAAAACTTCTAGTTTTGTTTTCATGACAATTTAAATCCATCATCTGTTTTGTTGTGGATAACTTTTTTTTTTAAAATCATATTTATTGAAATTTACAATTGTATTAAATGAAAAATGCGTTAGTTAAATTTTGAATTGGTAATGCATAAATGGACATGCACAACATGAGAAACAACTCATTTTTAGAACTCCAATTATTCTATATTAGATGGTTACGAGGGCATCTTCTTTTCAGACGCATCGAAGGGTTGTTAGGACTAAAAGAGGAAGCGATGTTAGAAACAAGAATATTCGGATGGTTCAGACGTTTATTATGGAAGGACAGATATCTGGATTGAGCTAAATCGGAAAATATGGTACATTAAGGTCGCTATGGTTGATTTCATTGGTGACCAAGTAGGGACCATTGAGGATTTTACGAAGGATTTTGGAATGTAAGGATTGGATACGAAAGGAATTTGAAGGTTAGGTGGAACTCCATAGCTCAACTCCGAAAGTCCAAATAGTCATGTCTTTTGTAAATAATTGGAAGTTTAGAGTGTTAGTCTAGTAAATGCTGGAATAGTCGAAAACATTGAGGGTTTTTTTGTCATTTTATTCTGGTAAGAGGATGATGACAAAAATTAAATCAGAAATATGAATGATATGGTATGTGCGAAGTACAAAAGTATTAAGCAATGTATAATAAAGATAAATAGATAAACATACAGAAACAGCTATTTATTTGTAGTATTTGTAATATTTATTCCATTCTTTTTCGATATATTTACTAAATCAAATTTTTTAAAGATGTAAATCTTGCATTATATTACTGTCAGGCACCTAACACTGGCTCGCCACTGTAACAATAAATTAAAATCGGTAAGGACCAAGGCATACAGGCTCAATCATCTGTTGACTTCTCCTAACTTATCCCTCCGCCACAAATTAACAATATAAAAGCGCATGTTAAGACCGGTCCTCCTTTATGGAGCATCACTCCTAACTAATATATCACCGGCAATATCGAAAAAGCTCCAACAGTTTCAGAACGGTGTGCTAAGAAAAATAGTGAGACACACGACTTTACAAAAAACACATACGGACCTACTACATACCACCTTCGAATTACCGACTTTATTACACGCAAGCATATCAAATTTTTTGATACTCAAGTTTTCAAATACTCGACAAACCCGCTTTTTAAAACACATACTCCACGTACTCACAAACCTATGAGGTGGCAGACATACATTAAAAACCTACTAGACTGAAAAATTGACATTTACAGGGTACTGGTGAGACCCATCACTCGACTGAAACGCTAACTATGACTATGAAACCACAGTACTCCCAATTCCCCATCCTACTCTTAAAATGCACTCTGTGCGGTACAAGAGTTCATGTTCAAGCCTAGTATTACCACTCTGTTCTAAACACCACATCATATGGAGTTCAGAAAAAAAAAAAAATACTACTGTATACCGTGACGGCTTCTCAAGTACTCTATTTGGGATATCCGAACTCCATCTTATATTGATCTCTAACTTTTCCTATTTTATTATTATAACACATAAAGTCCATATAACTATTCATAAACTTCTTTATTCTTTTGAATGCTCATAGCCAGTCCCTCATTAGTAGGGCCAAATATCCTTAGCAGAATTTTTCTTTCCAAGACTAAAAGATCTTTTTCATCATCAGATAATGTCCAAGTTTGACTAGCGTAGGTAAGAACTGGATTGATTCGCGTTGCATAGAGTTGGAGCTTGGTACTCCTGCTAAGGAGTGAGCTACTCATATGCTTAAGTAGACCAAAATAGCTTAAGTTGACAGCTGCTATTTTACGCTTAATTTCAAGTGGCATGTCATTCTTCGTGGCAATTTGTGATCCCAGATAAGATAATTGTTTGGCACTCTCTAAGGTGTAAGGGTCGAGAGATATTCTTTGGTTTTGAGTATTTCTCCTTCATCTGTATATGTGCACTAATTAATATGGAACTCTATCTTAGCTGCAGTTCTCTGCAATTCCAGAATGAAGCGATATCACTGTCGTCAGGGTAACCTAACAGTTGGACAAGATTTGAAAATATCATGATTATAGTCTCAATACCAAAGTCACTGACCACTTTTGTTCTCGGTTCTTTATTAGTGAAAAACTCCGAGGAACACTTTCAATGAATGCGTAATCTGTACTGCATATCATGCATTGTCATTTTGGATTAGTTTGGAGTTTCATATAACTTAGTTGGTTTTCATAATTGCCCTTATAAAATAATAAAATACCAAGACCAAATTCACTAGTACATAAATAGTTTAAGGTTTTCATTGGAACTTCATTTAGAAGGTTTCAGAACAAAGTGGGGGAAACTACTGCCATTCTAATACTTGCCATTCCCACACACCTTCATACAATGAAAGCTAAAAAATAATGAGATAAAAGACATCCTTGAATCAAATATTATATAAATACATTATAAATTGGTACCGGAACAATCTCATTCATACATGGCAAGCAATTGTAAACACGTCCAGTTCTTTATGTTGCGTGTGGAGTCTGAACCTAGTTACTATTATTTATATTCACAATATTGACTTGTACATATGTATACCTAATATGTGGGTATATAAATTAAGAAATAAAATAAACAAATCTGGACAAAAAGGGATAATATCGACTGCCACGTAACGAGATCCTATAAATCCTAATTTTGGTTCAATTTTTATTGCATAATTAAGACAATGATGTAATATTTTAAGAAACTTTATTGATTTATATTTCTGAATATATGCGAGGACAACATTGATCATAAAAAGTCAAAAATTCAGCATTAAATAAAACTTGATTGTGTTCTAAATTATCGTACCCAATTTTCGATTTTGGAGTTACTTAAACCCGCTTGAGAATTGTATCACAGGACTTAGCCGATTCAAAGTTATTTAACTCGGATATATATGCATAGGCATGATAGAATTAGAATACTTAGTATTGATCATTATTTATGAAAAATTCACATCGATTTTTTTATATTTCAAATCAAATTTAGATAATTTGGTATGCGTTCACTAGTGAAGTATTGTATCTTGCATCTTAAAGAGATAAGGATATAATTTAAAACCCTTCATTGCTCTTAATATTTGGGTATTCACCAACAATGGAATGAAAATAATTTTATTCAGGGACAAAAGCCTTCTTAGAATAATAGCTGAGCTCAAAAAATATATACATCAGTCTGACATGTAAATATAAAAAGAATCCTAAGACAGTGACAGTGACTTGCAGGTAACAAATTGTCCAGCTCAACTGAAGTATTAACTTAATATGTTTGTTTGTATAATATTATGTTAATGCATTACCAAAATGAAGAAAAACATTAAAAAATATAAAGGAAGGAGATTTTCCGGGGTGGTGGTCATAAATAGTGGCAAAAATATTTTATTAAAAGCCAACGTTTCGACCCGACTTTGAAGGTCTTCTTCAGGGCTAAAACGGACAAGATACAAAAAAATAGAGAATTGTGGAAGTTACGTAATATTTAGACAAAAAATGATAAACAATGTGAATAAGCTTATTAAAATATAAACAGAGTAAGCTAAGTAACAAGACCCTAAACTGAAGTAAATAGATGGTAACAATTGTTGAAATATAATATATAATATATGCAATTGTGAATATACTCCTACAGATCTACAGGAGAGATTGGAAGAAAAACAAATATATATAATACGAAATAATGGACATAAAGGGATGTGGAGAAAGAAGAGAACACAAACAAATAAAAAATAAGTAAATAAAATTAGAAGAATAAAAATAGAGACTTACAGATGTGATCAGTAAGGAGTTTCACTTAGAAATGAAAAACCAAATTCCTTTGTGGAAATTTGTTGACCTGGTTGGGAAATGGTGAGGATGTAAGTAGTAAAACTAAAACAAAACCTGGAATATTAAAGTATCTAAAATTTGAAGATATGGTTGGATTCAAGGGAAAATACTATATCTATAGACTATAAATTATAAATATATATACACATATAAAATATAATTAAGAAATTATAGAGAGAAGTACAATGTGAGTAAAAACAAAAATGAAAAATAATTAGATGTATTAAATAAGTTATTTTTCACATATAAGATTTAAAATGTGCCTATATGTAGAAGAAATGCAGTTTTTATCTACTTTATGATTAACAGGATTCTGTTCCATGTGAATGTGGATGGATTCGGAAATGAGTCTTTTTTCAATGGTTAGGGACCGTGGCAAGAATAGATATTTTTTTCAAAACCAAATGAGTGGTTGAGGGAGCATGTTCTGATAGTTTGGAGGTGGAAGTGTTCCGGGAAGTTATGGTTGTTTAATGTTTGAAAGTATGGGTTTTGAGATTGTTTTCGGTTTCGCCAATATAGGAGCTATTACAATTAGGAGTAGAGCAAGTTATGCTTTTAATTGCATTATTGAATGCTTTTAATTAGAAACGTTGGCTTTTAATAAAATAGTTTTGCCACTATTCAGCCTATTTATGACCGCCACCCCGGACCATCTCCTTCCTTATTAATACAACGGTCGACTATTAATTTTAAATTAAAAAATATACGTTTCAACCATTACTTGATACAATTTTCCATATTAAAAATCCTGTGCCATGATTAATAATCACCTTGAGGTCAGCAACACCAAATGGGTAGTTTTGGGGGAAATATAACTTTTCTTATAAAAGTGTATAATTAATTTCTTATAATTTTAGAATTATAAGTAGGTTATCCAAATGCTTAGACAAAACAGAAGGAAAGGAATTAAAATAAAACACGTTACAACCATGAGCGTCGCTCGGGATCTATTAATAATCTAGGTGAATTTTTCATAAATAATGATCAATAATAAGTAATCTAATTCTATCATGCCTCTCTCTCTCTATATATATATATATATATATCCAAGATAAATAACTTTGAATCGGCTAAGTCCTTTGATACAACTTTCAAACAGGTTTAAGTTTAACTCTAAAATCAAAAACTGGGTACGATATTTTAGAATACAATCAAGTTTTATTTAAAGCTGAAGTTTTGAGTTTTTATTGTCCTCTCATAAATTCAGAAATATAAATCAATAAAGTTTCTTAAAATATTGCATCATCGTCTTAATCATGCAATAAAAATTGAACCAAAATTTGAGGTTTGAAAAGTTAAAAGAATTTTTACCCCTAGTAGGACTTTGTTACGTGGCAATCGATATCGTCCCTTTTTATCCAGGCACAGATTTGTTTATTTTATTTTTTATTTATATAAATACACACATAATAGATATACATACAAGTTATTATTCAGACGCTTCAGCCTCTTATATATAGTTAAATCTCTTTTAGCGAATAATTCTTCTCTACAGCGAATAATTTTATAAATTCCATCTAATTTTAAATAATTTAATAGTGTAGATGTCTTGCGCTTATGGGACGTTCTCTATAACGCTGACGGGCTTCAAATAAGTATTTTGATTCATGACTTGCTCTGTAACATTGAACAGGAAGCTGTGAAGGTCATGAGTATATCAACGCTATTTGTAATATCATAGTTCAATTATAAGTATACTGGGAATTGGGATTGGTGGTGGGGAAAATGTTTTCAATCTATCTTGTTAGTTCATTAAAAGTAGTACAGGACGAAGTATCCATCCGCGTCCATTCAAGTTAAGTACTCATAAAAATGTTAATATTCGCGAATTATCAGCTCAATTAAAAACGTCAGTGTGATAGATTTAAAAGAAAAAAAAACATTTCTCTAAAACTTCAGACCTCAGACAGAGATCTTGTAACATTCCCCTATCTGAAGTCGGACAAAAAATATGCGTAAGCCAAGCTACAACAACACTTTTAAACGCTTCCCAACCACGGTTTTATGATAAAGATGTTTTTATTTGATCGGAAGATAAAAAGTTACAAACTCTTTGGATTAATAGTCTTTACTGTCCTAAAACATGAAGCGAATGTCAATTAATCTAAACCAAGGTATTTCAAAAAGATAAGATAAGTATATTTTCAAAAATGTTATCAGTGTATTTAAATTTTCATGAAAACGAAACTAGTAAGTAACTATTTTATGACTAATTTTATAATATGACTCTGTTTCCCGTTTTTATGAGGAGTTGAAGTGGCATTATCCTTCCTATCGTCGTAAGTATTTCTTGGCATCCTTCCTCTTTCAAGTCATCCAATCCCACCGTCTCTCATACATCTCCGAGCTCATTCAATTCAAATCCTCTGTCTTCTGATTTATACGTAAGAGCCCGTCAATCCAAAACCCTTCCTACCTTTAAAACCCGCCTGTTAAATCATTTCTTATCCATCCAGTCCTCATAAAATTGTAAATAGTTACTACTGTAAATATGTATATAAATTATTAGATCATTCTTCATTATTTTTACTTCATGTTTATTTTAATTTTTTTATTATTATTAACTGATTTAAATTAGAAAGTAACTTATAATTTCTTTTATTATTATTTTTTTGACTATTTAATTAAACTATATTCTTGTTTATGTATCTCTGAGGCTCCTTAGCCACATTTTTGTCTTTCTGTATTATTCTAAAGGGACTCGTCCCAGAATAAATAAAGCATTATTATTATTATTATTATTATTAATTTCATCAGTTCTAATCACTCCTGATTGAAGTACATTGTGAAGAAGATACGTATTGTTTATGCAGATGGGTTTAAATAAAAAAGTTAGATAGCATTACTCAACCTAAATGTTAATGATTTATATTATTATTTATCAGTTTGTATGACGATAATGTATCACAAATAGCAAGATGACAATCGATGTGTACTTATAGTTTAATATATTTTTTTTTTCGTTTTCTGACTGTGGGTCACAGAAAGTGATTTCATTTAGTTTGTTCATCCTAAAGTGAGAATTCTGGGAACCTGACATTATTCAGGTGTATCTCATTGGTGGTCGTTATAGATAAAAAGATGAGTGGTTATAATTAATATATATATATTAGATTGATGCAGCACGCTGATGTTTAGTTACAATGCTGGCGGCCGTGCTGTGTGTTGCGGCCTTGGGGCACCTCGTCCTAGGAGAGAGCCCCCAGGTCATCACCTCCTATGGTACCATGAAGGGGCAGGTCCTCAAGTCTAGGGATGGCAGGGAATTCTCTTCCTTCACTAGGATACCTTATGCCAAGCCACCTGTCGGAGAGCGGAGGTTCATGGTGAGTGTGGTCTCTTCTCTTGTTAAAAAGCTGTTTTTCTTCATATTAATATTTTTTTTATTTTTAAATTAATTAGAACTCATTCGCTGATTGACTGTCTTTAAAACTCGATCACATCAGGCTTCATCCTCAGTGTTTTTGACATTAATTCAACTTAGTTTAAGTTGCGACCTTGAGCACTTGTCTTTCCCAATCAATTACGCAATGAGTGCACCACTCTATTCTCCGTAAAAATAAAAATATAATTTTACTGTCAGGATACAGTCTAGTTCATCATTTAGAGTAGCTTTAGATAAGATTCTAAATAACTATGCTGAGTTTTAAAGCCATAACCCATACCGATGGCGCATAAGCCCAAAACTATTCTAGTTATGTTGAGTATAGTTTATTCTCTTCTCTTGTTTCAGGCAGTTTGTCTTGATATAAATTTTCCTTTTCAAGTATACTTTAATTTGAACGTTAACTGTGTTTAAAACTAGATCATATTAAACTTCATCTTCAGTTTTGACATTAATTCTTGGTTTATAGAATGCATAAAATACTATTGTATTTTCCAAATGTATATGTTAATTATTCTAATTCCTCTCGTATCCAATCCTTACAATCCAAAGTTCTTCGTAAAATCCTCAATGCTTCTTACTTTGTCACAAATAAAATAATCAATAATGACCTAAATGGTCCACATGTTTCCGATTTGGTCCATATGTTTCCGATTTGGCCCAATCCAGATACCTATCCTTCCATAATAAACTTCATAACCATCCGAATCCTCTCGTTTCTAACCTTGCTTCCTCTTCGGTTCACGATAACCCTCCGGCGTCTGAAAAGAAGATGGCCTCGTGATCTCCATATATAGACATATTATTAGAGTGCTACGTGTTTCTCAACAAGCGTTTTCAAGTGATTATATTCTTTACTTGATGTATTTATATTGTAATACAGTTGTAAATATCTTGAATAAATAGTTTAAAAAATATATGTTAATTACATATTATTTTTTCTCAGATCTCGGAGAAAGCAGATAATTGGACTGGGATATTGGATGCAACTCAACCCATCCCATCATGTTACCAGACCCTGTTCCCTTTTGGTCAAGGAGCCGCGGGACAGGAAGATTGCCTCTACCTGAATATTTTCACACCAAATGTATGCTTACCTTTATATTATTTTTTTTTAATTTACAGGATTTTGGTTATCCTAGTAATTTAAATTTTCTTTAATTATTGGCACGAAATACTACGACACGGATGAAATCAATGTCATGCAGGCTGAACTATTATTTCGTTCCTAATTTAATCAAAACCAAAGGAATTAATAATTTAAATTATTATCGAAAATTAGTAACTCCTATCCTCTTGTTTATATTAATGTGATTTTTTAACAGGTGACAGGAAGATTGCCAGTAATCTTCAACATACACGGAGGTGCGTTTAAGCAAGGTTCTGCTGGTGGTTTGGATTACGCCAATTTTTTTATGGACGAAGATGTTGTCTTCGTTTCTACTAACTATCGGCTTGGAACAATGGGTAAGGCATAATTAAATTATCAAAGTATATACTTTTATCACAAAGTTAACTCATTAATTATCTAAAATAAAGATTTATTTTTCGCTGATTTTAAGGCTTTCTCAGTTTGGAAGACGACGTCATACCTGGGAATATGGGTCTTAAAGACCAAGCTCTGGCTTTGGAATGGGTTTACCAAGAAATCAGTGCATTTGGAGGGGACCCGAATTTGATAACCGTTATAGGTGGTAGTGCTGGTGCTGTATCTGCGCACCTTATTTGTGAAGTCCCGAGAACGAATGGTAAGCAATGTTTCATTAAAAAAAAATGTTATTTATTTATTGAATATTTAATTGTTGGCCGTTGCATTATAAAGGAAGATGATGGTCCGGGGAGGCGGTCATAAATAGGCTCAATAGTTTTTTTTTTTTCTTATTACAGTCATTGGTCATTTGGCCATCCGACATCTTGCTGCCCAGTATAATTTAGACTTTCTGATATGTATATTCGAAAATATTCTGTCTCTTATGTCCCTCATGGCAGGACATGCGTCTAGATGGTCTGCATCCATTGTTCCTAGATGACACAATTTACATCTAGGATCCTCAGCGACGCCTATCTTGTAGAGATGACTCTGCAGATAGTCGTGACCAGTAGCCAGGCGGAAGCAGGCAACTGCATCTCTTCTCGGCAGCTCAGCTGGAATCGGATTATCCTTCAACCACTCGTAACGCTTCCCTTCCACTTTGCCGAAATGTACTTTTCTTATTTCCTCCTTCACTACCATCTTCACCATTCGCCGTATTGAGTCGTAGGGTTTTGGATGTATCGGCTGAGGCAAATCTGTTCCTCGCTTGGCAAGAATATCAGCCTCAACGTTACCCGGAATCCCACAATGGCTGGGGATCCACTGTAGGGCCACATTGGTGCCTCGGAGTGTCAGGTTAGAGAGGAGGGATTTACATTCCAATATAGCACTCGATAAACATTCATTCGTGCTTGTGACAGCAAGGATGGCTGCTTGGGAGTCGATGAAGAGAACAGCGCTCTGATCCCGCCTTCCAGACAATGTTCTTAAGGCTATGAGGATCGCCGCTATCTCACCGTCGAAATTTGTTCCATCTTTTCCCACCGCAGCGCTGATTTGGAATTCCTTTGATTATTTTTAACGGCTGATTCAGCTGATCCGTCGGTATAGATATGGAGCCAATCTTGAGGAGGGTACTTTTGAGCTATGGTTTCTAATGCTAATGCTTTCAGCTCGTATTCAGATGTTTTTTTCTTATCCACTTTATGAAGGAGTTGCAGTTCTGCATTGAATGCGTGATTGTGAATTGGTAACTGTGGATTTATAAATGGTTCCCTTTCTTCGTAGTCAAGCCCCCATTCTTCAAGTAGTGCCATCGCCTTCAGCATGAAGGATTTTTGTGTCTTGAGCCGTATTATTGAACATATTATTGTATTGAACTCTCTTCCTTCAATTCTAAGTGAAACTTCTAGCCAAACACCTCTCTAAAGAAGAAGTGCAAAGTCGGGTCGAAACGTCGGCTTTTAATAAAATAGTTTTACCACTATTTAGCCTATTTATGATCGCCATCCCGGACCATCTCTTTTATTTATTTATTGTTCCCTACTTCTTTTATTTTTATTTATTTTTTAAATACGAAACAAGCAATATTCCTGTTTTTAGGTCTTCTCAAAGGCTGTATCTCTCAGAGCGGAGACGGATGGGCACACTGGGCAATTTTGGAACCTGGTTCGGCTCGAAAAATGGCGTTGAAAATGGCTAAAAAAGTAGGTTGCAACGAAACGGGAGATCTACTTCGATGTCTCCAGAGTAAGCCAATTGAACTTATTGGCGACGTTAATTTGTTGCAAAATGTAAGAGAACAGAATGGTAAAGTTTAATAGATCAAATATTTATTTAAATAAAGGAAGGAATTCATTCTAATAAAACTATTTTATTAAAAGCCAACGTTTTGACCCGACTTCGCGGGTCTTCTTCAGGGAGCTGTGTTCAGCTAGGAGTTTCTCTTAGAACTCACCAGAAGAAGACCTGCAAAGTCGGGTCGAATCGTTGGTTTCTAATAAAATAGTTTTATCACTATTTAGCCTATTAATGACCGCCACCCCGGACCATCTCCTTCCTTTATTAAATAATTTGTTTATTTTCCCAGTTTAAGTATATGTGTTTGAATTATAGCTATTTTTTATTCCCTTTCCTAAGGCATGGAGCTTGCCTCAAATCATCCTCTGATTATGCTCTATATAGATCTTAGGGTAGTATTTTCTGAAAGTAAAACCTTTGTGTGTAGTTATCCACCGTGAATTTTACTTACCAATGGTGTCCTCCAGTATTACTCTTTTCCATTTATAATGATCTGCCTCAATTCTTTCTTGTAGATTTTCTGGAAGACTTACTGGACCTTTTTCCTTAAGAACATATTTTGTCTTATCTTATAACAAGAAGAGATCGAGAGGTACTCCTTTCGCTAAAATCTTCCGCTCTTTATGAGCAACTGTTCAGTAGAATTTAAGTACTGCCAACAGGAACGTTCTCTAGTTTGTCGTCCATTTTCTATACAGTAGTTGCGAGAGATTTCGATTCCAGGCTGGGGACGCGTACTTCGCAATATCCAGTACTACTCAATTATGTATAGCCATGGTTGGCGGCTACCTGAGGCCCAAAAAGGCGCCTCCATTACGAGTTATTGTTCTGAGGGTCAAGGAACTTTTTAAGTTACCCAAGTGAGGAGTAACTTTGAATCTTTTACCGTACCTTACTCTAAGGTAGGTCACTTCCTCATTAATAAATTTCTTGCATATTTATAATAATAGGGTGAGCTCTTGCAGCCGTAACCTTCAGAAGTATTGCTTGAAGTATCGGCACCTGCCATTTTCATCCTTGTTCTCTTGTACTACTACGGCCAACTTGTCGACATAAGTAAGATGGAGGGATCCACTCATCTTCAAGCACTCTCCACCATTTCTTCAACTTCATTAAAGTCCCATTGTATTTTCACTCTTCGATCCTTTAAGTAACTTTTGCTTAGGGCACCTTTTATGCTATAGGATTCAAACCTGCTGTAGCACATTCGGCTATTAAATGCTATAAATCACTATCTATAATAACTTGGCTACTTTTCGACTGTTCCTAACTTCTGGAATCCCATCCCAATCACGCAAACGAATTGAATTAAAAATTAGCGTCCCACATGTTAAATTAAACAAAAAGTTTACGACTAGATATTAATATATTGCTACTTAGTGAATTGAATTCTTCTTTATATATTACTATGTAATGTCGAATAATTTTGACAAATTTTGTTTTAATATTTGTTTCATACTAAAATGTACTGTCCTCTTAATATAATAAAACTTGTTCAGAATGAGATGAATACTATAAAAAAACAAAACAAATGCAAACGAATACAATATACAAGTCTTAATAGATTACAAATACTTTCGATACCTAGTATACAAGCTAATATGTACAAAACTATTTCGATCGACCATAATTTATTATGCTCCCCATTCTCGGGTCGTAATATTAATTATATATATAATTTTCTAATTAACTTTAAAAGAAATTTTTTTTTGACTCTGTATAATTTTGATATTTTAGAACTCTCAAGCACTGACTCTTGTATCTCCAGTTTTGGAGCCAGCGAATGCCCCAGGAGCAATACTGACGAGCTGGCCCACGAAGGTAAACCACCACCATCCTCGAATCCTTGGACTCGTCCAGGACGAAGGAATGGTCTACACTTTATGTGAGTTTACAATTTAATTTACACTTAAGTTAAAGCAGTGATATAACACGAAGTTCTGATACTCCTTCGTCTTATTAGTGGGAAGAGAGGAGGAATCACATGTAACTATAGGGCTTAGACTTGAATGGGAGGGAAGGAGGAAAAGGGGGGAGGAGGAGAGAAGGAGGCAAGAAGAAAAATCGAAATCAGAATAGAAATTTTCGAGCATTTAAGTTTTAATTTTGAATTTGATTGATCCTAATATCAGTGAATCCTGGATTGACAACTTTTTACTAACAATTACTTTCAATATTCAGTCAATTCTATTTATTACATTTATGAATTAAATTTTTTTATTATTTCAGTTTACGAGTTTCACCTGGTAAGCGATGAGGAGAAAGAAAACTTCATTAATGGTTTCAACCAAACTATTATCTCAGGTCTCCATTTGGAAAAAAGGACAAGAGACTTTTTGAGAATAAGGGAGAGGTTTTTTACTAAGGGTGTTGACCCTTTGTTAGCTATACGGAATGTAAGTATTATTTTATTTTCATGCCAATTATTAATTAACATAGTAATGTATTCATTAGATCCCAGCGCTTGAAGAATTATATTTACTTTTATTTATTTATTTATCAAAATCGTCTTCCAGTTTGTAACAGAATACATGTGGGTGTACCCGGCTTTGAAGTCCTTAAGTACACACACTGGACCAACTTATTTTTACAAGTTCAACTACACCCAAGGACCACCATTTCCCTTTGGACATCCTCCAGATCATCCAGGTAAATGATATAGTAATAACTAACAAGCTAACTTAATAGCCCAAGTTAGACTTAGGCCTCACTAAGAATTAATGGCCATTACTGCTTATCTTCCGTCGTCTTTCAACATCTCATACTCCTGTTCGTCTCAGATTCCTATATGCCTGTCCTTGTATTTCCGTCATAATATTTTCCCTGATGAAAAATAAGATAATATAGAACCAAATCGAGAAAAAAGTAATAATGATAAAATATTGAGGCATACATTGAAGAATATTTTATTTTTTTAATAACAGTATCATTTGCATTTTTCATACTTATTTTAAAAACTATTGTTGAAAAATTCCAAACCATTCAGTCTAATGTCTCCAGAGAAAACCCCGTTAACGTTTCGCCAATTCAGGCACCATCAGGACAGAAATAATATTTATATAATTATTTTAATTATTACATTAATTATTTATTTAATCGTTTCTTATTATTATGTGATTTCACTTCATTAAGTTAATGTTTTTTTTATTATTTAATTTAATTTTTTTGTTATAACATATTTATGATTTTTGATTAGATATTACACACAATTTTTTTTTTAGTCGTTTGTCTCCCTTATCAGCTGTTTGTTTTTAACCTTCCCTTACTGTGTTGTCTTACATTTCTTTTACTATACGATTGGATGTTGGATGTTGGATGGATGAAAATCGATTAGCTGTTTTTGTCTCATGATGCCTGAATTGGAGAAACGTTGACGGTTTTTTTTTTTTGTCTGGATTTTGGAGAAATAAGGCTGTGTGGTTGAGATTTTTACAAATAATAATAACGTATTTTCCAATGTTCTGTCTCTTGGTTATTTTGTTACTAATTTATAACAAGTTATTTCTTTATTCAGTATTCTAATATTCTGTCAATTGGCCAATAGTTATAGAGAGATAAGACCACCATTTCACAGAGACATAAGACAATTCAGCCTATACATACATGCAAATACGAAACTAAACAGAAGTAAAATAAATACTAAATAATGATAAAAAAGTACGTGCAATAAATACAAAAATTAAGTTAAAGATAAGTAAATTAAAAACAAAAAAACACAGACATGCCAATTCACAAAAGTTGTTAATAACTTCTAAAACCTTTTTATCTAATCATTTGAAACATAGTTGTTAAATGATAAAAACATTACTAATATTATCTCGAACATTAGCAAAATAAGAACAAATAATAAAACTTATCAATAAAATATTTTCTGCACTTGACACATTTTGTTTCAGGAGTTCCACATGGCGCAGAAGGCGCATACTTTTTCCCCGGTAATACTTCAACAGGTTGGCCTAAACCTGAAGATATTAAATTATCCAAAATGTTGATCAAGATGTGGGTCAACTTCGCCAGGAATCAGTAAGTAAATAATTTTTTTTTTAGTTGAAAAATGTATTAATATGAATTAATTTATATCATATTTATTGATATATTATAACGCATTAAAAAATAAAATTATTGATAAATAGTATGTTTCATCGTGTTACTGATTATGATTTTTATTTTTACTAGTGTAAAATTATGATATAATGTAATTCTTTAATTGAAGCGGTGAATGCAGAAACCACTTCAGTAAAAATAATGCGAAAAATCGTTTTCGATGAAAAGAAGCTTAAAAAGGCAAGATGTGTGTTGAGTGCAAGAACCACGTTAGTCTGTCGAGTAGATCCGTAAATACATGACGTCTTTTACGATCGTTGAGGACAGAAATAACATGAGTCATGATAGCTTCGAAGTTTTTTATGATGAACTATTTACCTGGCTAACCACACCACGTGTCAATGATACAATCATAGAGAATGATCTTTAAGAGCGTTTAAATTTGTTATTTTCCCGTTTTATAATGACTTTGCTATAATGTAACTTCATTTTTGATATAATATGAAAGACATAAATTTTCAAAATTGTTGTAAAATAAATTAAATTAATGTATATTTTTGTAAAATAAATTATTAATTAAAAAATATAAACTTTTAATGAATGGTTTACAACCTTTTTACAAGTTCTAAGCTGTCTGCAAAAAACAGCATAAGTTCGAATCAATTTTTAATTTTTCCTGATCCTAATTTATGTCGAAATTAGGTGATGTTTGCATGACAGCAACATAAATGCATGTTATGACAGAGGAAAAAAAAAGTTCAAATATTTGAAAATGAGGAAGAGTTATGACGTTTTTTCTCTCTCCTGAAAAATTTGAAATTTGTGACTGAAGTGGTTTCTGCACTCACCGATTCAATAATATGTTGTTTTTTAAAATTCGATTATTGAACCTGGCAGCACTAGTGGATCCAAGATTTAATTTTGGGTGCTTCAGCCCGAAAGATTTTTTTTTCATGCATATAACGATAATTAGTTTGGATAAAAAGAAAGAAACTAACTTATGAAATGGTGTTTAAGAGATTATTGAAGTCTTATTGAATGTAATTACACGAACAATAATACTTTAATAGATAATTTCTAACATTTTTTTCCATAAAACATAGTTATGTTACCATTTTGGGGGGGGGGAGGAGGAGGGAGGCTTGGCCCGACAGTTCCCTTAGTAGATCAGTGCCTGGGAGCAAATAACACTGTGTCGCTTATTATATTGGTATTTTACATAATTTTAAATATATTTTTGATAAACTTTTCATAAAACAGCCGAGCTTCTTTTAACTCTGAGCCATATCCCCTTACTATATTTGCTCTGTGACGTAATGTTCCAATAATACTTCTTCAATAACACTAAAAACACAGGAATTTTTTAATATATTATATGCTTTTCCAAAGTATTAATTGGAATATTAAATAATTAAATCTATTTATAGCAGATATTTCTCATATTTTCCAGAAACCCAAGCAGTCCAGAGATGGTACAGTGGCCTCAATTCCAAGGACAAAACTTCTTGGATATACAAGACTCAGGAGTTACTGTAGGGAATTATACCCAATATCAAGAGATACTCGATTTCTGGCAGAGTATTTTTCCGGATCAGCCTTCAAGTTCGTCAACGATTCAGTCATCGTTATTGTTTATAGCGACTTTATGCATCATTACCACCTTAAAAGGACTATTTGCTTAAGAATGAGAATTTTAAAGCATGGAATTGTAAATATGTTATATAAAAATAAATGCTTATAGTAGATTATAATGATGATTGAAACTATAATGTAATATAACTTAACTTAAATTTTTATGAAAAATGTGCTTAGTGTTTGTTTAATAAAACTATTTATGAACATCATATTTTTATCACATTTATTGTATCAATAATTATAATTAGAAATAATAAATTAAAATTAAGAGTGAAAACGAATTTTCATACTGAAATTGTACGTTTATTTCGATAACAAAAAAAAAAAAACTAGTTACAAATAAACAAAATAATGCTACTTTCAGTAATTGACTTGTTTGGATATATATATTTTCCTATTTCTGTTTTTTTTTTATACCGTCTTATTCTTTTTAAACTTATAAATACCATAATAATAATAATAATATAAGGCTTAGCGAACTCGAAGGTTCGATGCCGACACCACCAATCGCTGATCACAGACCTCCCTCCATCGTTCGTCGTCCAAACCCAGTCCCTTCAGATCGGCGTTAACGCAATCTTCTCACCTTCGCTTCAGTCTACCCCTCGGACGTTTACCATTCGGTACAGCACATATTAATCTTTTAGCAATTCTTTAGTTACTAATCCCAACAATTTTACAAGGACATTTGATTAGCAGCGGTGTATTCTACATCAATTATATTAACCGGATAAAGTTCACGCAATTCGGCGTTCTGTATCCGTCAAAACTCTACGGTGAACTCATCCTTTTTCGGTCCGAATATTCTATGTAATACTTTATTTTCAAAAACCTTAAGATGATGCTCATCCCTTAATATAAGCGGCCACGTTTTGCATCGATAAAGAACTGTAGGGGTAAGTAAGATAATGGTTTTAATTTTCTAAAAGATCTAGTTTAAAATTTTAAAATTTAAAGGTACTTTAGACGACAACGCATATGAACATTGGGCATTTAAGCTCTGCAAAGTGATATCAATGATATGATCTAATGATATTGAAGACCACTCAATTATACAATGATTTACCGAGTTAAATCAAAATCGTTAGAACCATTTTTGAGAAAATTGTAAAAATGGGTTTTATCGTTGATGATAAAGTGGCACCTCCGGTAAGCTGATTTTTACGAAAAAGTTGCTATAACATACAAGGTATATACAAGCCTTAAATGTGAAATTTCACTTTCTTACGACTTTTCATTTTTGAGCTAGACTGTTCATATATATATATATATATATATATATATATATATATATATAGAAATAGAAATATATATACACACAAAGACAGACACACAGACCATTTTTCGGGACTTGGTTATTTGGACTCAAGGTATCACATTTATTTTATTTATTGTACTGAGAGTGTGAACGAGATCTTTGAACACTATCGGTCCTTTAAGACAGATTGTAGTATTTTGCAATAAACAAGCTAAAAAAAAAAAAAGGGGTATCCCAAAACGTGTATTTCCGTTGAAAACGCAGATTTTAAAATTTTCACGAATGCACTACTTACCCTTACTATACATTACATATATACGTAAGTGAAAGTAAATATAAGCCATAATTCCGGAAATACTAATGCTTTTAGGTATAATTATTTTTCTTTTCTTAAAAATTGCTTATATTTAGGAACTTCCAATGAGTTATTATTTTTAAAGAGAACATTTTGTTTTTCATTGTTTAAGTATTAAGCTCTGATCTTTCACATAAACAATCCCCCCTTCCCACGTAGATTCGCCAGTAATCACAATAGAAAAGACCGGTAGAGCACCAAAAAAGCAATCTTTTTTTATTTTTAATAACGTTAATATTTTTAATAACATTATCCCCAAAACAAAAAAAAAAAAAAAATCTACGAAAGTATAGTACTGAACATTATGACATATGGATCAGAAATTTGTACCACAAAAAGCAACCTCAGGAAGAAACTTCTGGCCACCGAAATGGACTACTGGAGACGAGCGGCGTGAATATCCAGAACGGATAAAGTGAGAAATACGAGAGAAAAGATGAAGACTAAAACAACTATTCTGGAAGAGATTGAGATAAAACTCCTGAACTGGTATGGATATTCGAAAAGACGGAAGGAAGGCTATCCAAAGAAGTCCACTTATGGAAAACTAGGGAATGAAGAAGACGAGGAGACCAAGAGTTACGGAATGGACTTAATCCATAACAAATAATAATAATGATAATATTAATTTAACTTTTATTAATATATAACTTAATATTTAATATGCCAATTGGTGAATCATGCATTGACCTTTCTCATGACCTTTATCAAAGCATAAAAGCACAAAGCCCTAGATAGCCAGGTCAAGCTGTCTCTGATAGCTTAGAAATAGGTATCTAGAATGTACTGATTGGATAGAAGACACTTATCAAGACTTTGGGAACAATAAATGTTTTCAGCAAAAGAGCACTTTCTCACAGACTTCATATCAATTCTAAAAGATAAGGATATCAATTCTTAATAGTTATAACTTCATTCACACGCTTCCTAGACCGACCAGAATTGATTCACCCCTCCCCCCCCCCTACTATTCCTGAGTATATAACTCCCATCCTTCTAAGACCAAACCACTCATGTAGTTAATTCTCTTGATGTCATACTCTTTACTGCAGGAGACCTGGAGTGAACTCATGTAGTCAACTCATACATCCATATTATATTAATCTGTATTTTAGATGTCATTTGTAACTTTATGAATAAAACCATTACTTATAAAGTCTCCACTGCCTCCGATTCGTTAACTAAGGAAGACCTGGAATAACGAAGTGGAGGAATCCACGATGGGTCATGGTCTACGGGATGAATGGATCTTAGATAGGATATTATGGAAAGAAGCCATACAAGGTTTAGTTTAAGGAAACCCACTATTAGTGGAAACTCCTAATAAAAAAAAAATAAAAAAAATACCGTTAATATTAACAAAATTATTGAAAAATTGATTTTTTCATTATCATTATCATTTTCATTATCTTAAATTGATTTCAGGTATCTCTCGTTAGTAGTCGTTATAGATAAAACGATAAGTAGTTTGATACAGTAATAGTATATGAGATAGATACAGCGCACTGATATTTAGTTACAATGCTGACTGCCGTGCTGTGTGTTGCCGCGTTGGGGCACCTCGTCCTAGGAGAGAGCCCCCAGGTCACCACCTCCTATGGTACCATGAAGGGGCAGGTCCTCAAGTCTAGGGATGGCAGGGACTACTTCTCTTTCACAAAGATACCTTACGGCAAGCCACCTGTCGGAGAGCGGAGGTTCATGGTGAGTGTAGTCTCTTCTCTGATAATAAACCAGCTTTTATTAATATTAATATTTGTTTTTATTTCCAAATTAATTATAACTCATTTGCTGATTGACTATCTTTAAAACTCGATCATATCAGGCTGCATACTCAGTGTTTTTGACATTAATTCTTAGTTTAAGTTGCGGCCTTGGACGCATGGCGTTCCCAATCAGTTACGCAATGAGCGCACCACTCTATTCCCCGTAAAAATAAAAATATAATTTAGGAGGAAGAACTTAGATACATTAGAATCTACATTATATGTAATACTATAATAATAGCTCTCAGGAGCGATGGATATGATACGATGAATGAGTTCAAACGATAGAGCATTTCGTGGTGGAGTTACAAATCATAATATCAAAACTTAAAATCTTACAACGATTACAAAAAGAGTCACGGGAAAAATCAGTTTTCAAAACAGATGGCTCCAAACGTCGACGGATCGAGTCGGAATAAATTGTTTATTAAATATTTTTACGCGCATATCAAGATCCAGTCTAGATCATCATCCAGTATAGCTTTACATAAGATTCTAATGAACTATGCTGAGCCCTGCATTTTGAAGCCATAAACCGTACCCCGTTTAGCGCCTGAGTCCAAAATTATTTTAGCTAGATTCTAAAAATTATTCTAGAAATTTAAAAAAATTAATCCTCAAATTCAATGATTGAACCATTATTTTGAACATTTTCTTCTTCTTCAGGTTGAAAAAAATAGTCACATCTTCTAGAATAGTTAGGGAGAAAAACTGTGAAGAAAAGGAAAATTTACTTGCGCATAAGCATACTAAGCCACCCAGATTCCCAAAAACTCGTTAGTCGTATTCTTATAAGAGAGTTATTTATCGAAGCTGTGTACTGTGTTTTGTTTTGTATACCACTATACCGCCGGCGGAATTTGCCGCATGTTATATCAGATGGCATAATATGGCCTTCACGTCGGTGTCATCATAACTTCCTGACGGATGTAATGTTGACAACGACATATCTCCCATGGAAATGGTCTTGGCCTGCTCTAGGAATGTGGTCATACACCCAGATACTAACCTCTGGAACACGGTCTACGGATCCAACCAAACGAATAGAAGGGGTACTAAGCTCGGAGAGTTGTGAAGAAACGTCTGCTTTCCCATCTTTACTTGATACTTCATTGGCTTTGCCGGTGCTTCTTTTGGGTAGGTATACATGCTTTTGTAGCTATCCACTAAGGAAAACACTCACGTTATCATACAGGAATCGCGAGATTGTTTGCGCCCTCCTCTGAACGATACCTAGGACATCTGCCATACTTACTCCATTTTAGATAGGCCACAGACATGTAGGTCTACCTTAAATCCGAGATTGCTAGATGTAAACAAAGAAAAAAACACGATCGATGTTTATCTTTCACAAATGTATATGTTAAAGTGATTATATTTTTTTTTAATATTTATGTTTTATTATTTATTTTCTTCTTAGATCTCAGAGAAAGCAGGCAACTGGACAGGGATATTGGACGCAACTCAACCCATCCCGCGTTGTTACCAGATTATTCCGCCTCCTTACGGTTCAGGGTCCTCGGGGCAAGAAGACTGCCTATATCTGAATATCTTCACACCTAATGTACGCTCATGTTTACGCGATATTAATTAATTTATAAGATACAGCCTATACAGGTAAGCCTATAAAATTTTTCTTTAACCAGGGAATTTGAGTTATTTCGGCTTGCAAGGGATTTCAATGAAACTTTTTATGGTGATATTAGGTCGACAAATATTTGACCCTTGTCCGAGGGATCTTGCCAATGCGCCCTAGGAGCCGTTAGTAAAATAAAGAAAAATTCAATTGATTTTTAATTGCAATAATAAATTCCTCAATATTAAAATATATTTAACAGTTGTAATATAGAAGGATCCCATTCAAGCTATTGATAGAAGACAGATTATTGAGCAATACGTTTACATTTTTCGATCGAAACGAAAAGTTTTATTTA